GGCTTCCTTCGCTGGGATGACCTCAGCCAACTCCACGCGGACGACGTCTGTTTCTGCGATGGATACGTCGCCCTATTTCTAGAGAAGCGCAAAAACGACCAGTTTCGGGAAGGACACTGGATCTGTATTGCCCAAACACACAACAACACTTGTCCCGTATCCCTCCTACGCCGCTTCCTCCGCACCTCCAAGTCCTCCGGTCACGTGAAGCTGTTCCGCCGGATCGCCAACTTCCGTGACAACCTGTCCCTACGTTGCGAACCTATCTCGTACACCCGAGCCCGTGAGAAGGTGCTGTTACTGCTGTCATCCATAGGACTTGACTCATCCAAGTACGGCCTACACAGCCTACGCGCCGGTGGAGCCAGCGCTGCAACCGCCATGGGGATTCCAGATCGTCTTATCGCCCACCACGGGGGATGGCGCAGCGTACAAGCTCGGGAAGGATACATCCTGGAATCTGAATCTTCAGTTCTCTCAGTCTCGCGCTCCTTAGGCCTCTAGTCCCCCCCCTTCTCTACTTCTCCAGTACTAACGACTTCACTCCCTCGTCCCTATCCTTTCCCTTCGTGTCGGTGCGCACTACCCTATACCTTGTTGTGTTATCTGTGCATAGACAGAAAGTGGGGTTCTCTTCGGAACTTGTGAAGAAGAGAATTTCCACTTTCTGTCGGCGCACAGATGGTACTGTAGCCACTCCCCCTCTAATTAATCCCATTCCCCCATCCCGTCTCCCTTCCCCCGGTCATTCGTGCTTCCACACCTAGCTTGTGTGGCAGCATTTCCCGCCCACCCACCCTAACTTGGCTGTGTTTTTCTTGTAAGTCTTATTGTAAGTTTTTAGTTTTATTCCTTCTGTATTAGTGTAGCGTAGGACTACGGTCCCGGACTATGGTCCCGTTAATTAGGTCTTCCTTGTTCAGTTTAACGTTGTTTAACGTACAACAGATTTAGACATGTGATCATTTTCTATTTCCTATTACTGTTAAATACCTATGGTCCGATCATACATATAGTTTTGTCTTATCAACAAAATACTTACAATGTGTGTTAACCGTCTGCTATGGTTCGATATGACACTTTCGTAACGTTCAACAGTGATTGTCTTCTGGTATACTTTCACCTATGTTCAGACTTTCATAACTCATAACTATACTGGATTCTGAATCGCATTGTATTTTTCTTTTTTTGAGGAGCCATTAAAATGTCTGCCACCAAAGTGTCGGTGCGCACTACCCTATACCTTGTTGTGTTATCTGTGCATAGACAGAAAGTGGGGTTCTCTTCGGAACTTGTGAAGAAGAGAAACTTTTTGCAATAAAACGTCAAGAGGCAGCAACGCATATCATATGTCGATCTTGAATTTTATCAAGTTGAGCAACAACGTGGGTCACGTGTGTGGATAGAAATCGCACTCAAGCTTTACAACAGCTCTTATAGATACAGATCTCAAACCATGATGAGTACCGCTATAAGCTAACACATTGACATGCCGCAATCACGTGCAGATCACGTGGAACTCAACTATGATGCATGACATGCCGTTATCACGTGCAGATCACGTGTAAATCAACTACAAAGTCTACAAGCTGCAGGGTTTTACAGCGTACAGCGTACAGCACAGATGAAGCTCTTAAAACACAATGACTATTTTCAAAAGCTGACACATATTGGCAAATCACGTGTAACTGAACCAAAAATCACGTGCAGATCACGTGTAGCCGAACCAGAAGCCACTTGCCCGACATATACTCAACATTTACCACATTGGCATGCCGTAATCACGTGCAGATCACGTGTAACTCAACTACAAGTCTATAAGCTGGTGTTGCAAAGTGGCAATAACTTGCAGATGCAGCTCTCAAAACATCATGATTAGAAATTTCACCGACATAAGTTGACACATTTTCATGCCGTGAAAACATGATCATGACAATCACGTGCAGATCACGTGTAGCCGAGCCAGTAGCCACGTGCCCGGCGTATACTCACACGTGACCTGCAGACTGACAGTACTGACGCCGGCCGGGTGGATGCCGTTCTCTGCTCGGCACTGGTAAATGGCGGCGTCCCTGCGTCTTGTGTGGGGGATGTACAACGTGGATCCTCTAAAAATGTAAAAGGAAAGGGAAATAAATTTGTCAGCATGAATTAAGGATCATGTGTAGGACGGGAGACGATATCGACTTCCGACAACCTTTTGCCCATTCCGGTGGGTCTAATATTTTGAGTCTAATATTTTGAGTTGGCGCGTCATGCTGTTACATATAGGACTCATATAGTAGTAAAGTTTATGTTCATCAACAGCTTAACTGTGATCCGAGTATAAAAAAAAGTTCCTCTGGTCCGTACTGCAGCCTTCATCAGATGCGAATGGGCCGTCACGTAGGGCACGTGACCTTACAGACCCATTAGGTTAGCAATGGTGGCAGAAGAAATCAAAACTTGTTGCATTTATGTATTTGAAACTGAGTGTAAATCCAATCTGCCAATGGTGAGATTAGCATAGGGTTTACACAGTAAAATAATTTTCTCTGGTTCATACTGCAGCCTTTATCAGGTACGAATGACGAAACAGTCAGACCACGTGACCTAGCAAACACACCTAACAGACACATGGCGTGGATGCCGATATAAGAAATAAAGGCTTCTTGCATCAATCTATTTTACGCTTGCTAAAAGTCAATCTGCCTTTATTAATTGCCAGCATGGCATAAGGTGAGCACAGTATGCACAGCTTCAGTGTAACTGTGACACCAATTTCCTCAGCCCATTTCTGCAAGTCAATTGAACAATCATGCCACTACTTATTGTTCTATTCTCACTCTGGATTGCAACAATTATTTTAGAATTTTCAAGTCGGGTGAGCGATAAAAGCAAGTATCGACCTAACTCTCGACCCTGCGGACTAGAAAATGGGTCCCTAACCACTAGACCTCACGCTCTACTTGCACGGACAGCAATTCCATCTTTATGATATGAAAACTTCTCCCCTGTACCCCCAGGCATTGAACTGCGGATTGCATCTCTTAATTCATGCCTTTTCAGCCGGTGCGTTACGGGAATATAAAGCAATATGAATCCCTCATTGCCATTGCTGTTGAAGGTTCTGCATGGGGGGATCTTAGTAACGCTTTACGGTTAATTTAGGAGGGTCGGCAGAACTTTCCGGTAAATTAGGCTGTTATTGTGTAAGGATTGGGAAATACTTCATTGGATTGTGCTTTTTTTCGCATTCAATGCCCAAAACAAGTCTGCGAACGCCGGAATTTCAGTGGTTATTTTGGGGATTTTCAATAATACTTGACGATAAATTCAGGATAACAAATAACGCGATACGTGGAATCAAAGCGAGCAACTACACTTCCGACAATAGTAACATTGAATTAAGTGTCAGGCTACCACTGACGCTGAATTACGTCTCCATACGTCTCACAGAAAACACATGCAGACCCTCCCGACGTGAGCCCCAAAAAACGCACGAGCAAATTGTCCTGGCGTTTATCGAACCGGCGATCTTGTGTGTTCTCGGTGGCCTTATCTTCGCCACAAAGCCCGTTTATGTGTATATTTTACAGCCTCTGCACTCCATAACCCACCCGGTACTGTGTAGCTACTATGTACCATGTATCCCCACGACCTCTCCGCGCATTAAAGTCGTGAAACTCGCCCCGCACTGGCGCGCGGTGGCACTTGATTCATCGATTGCCAATGGGGGTGGGTTAGTCCGAGTTCCGGACGAAATAGGTTCTGATCCCGCCGTGCAGTACGCGGATCTGTTCCCTCTCTGCTTCTCCATCCGCGCGCGATCCGTCATGTACTGACAGCCGGTCTCTCCCAGCTGTCAGGGCTACGTACTTTGTGCACCGTCTGATCATTGGGCCTAGGAAAAAATGCTGTGTTTCTTGTTTCAATCCTGAAAAAATAGGTTCAGTAGGTATTATCTTTTGTTTTTTTAAGTAAACCGACTTTCTCGGCTGTCATGCCCGTACTTGATGAAACTTTTCCAGCTCCATGATCTAACGCCTGAGTGAAGAAACGTTGTTTAATCAGTTTTCCAACATTGATATTGAAAATATAAGTGTCCTCATGCAAGTTTTTCTTTGTTAATCTGTATTTTGTAACCATGGAGATCCTTGGTATAAGTTGGATCACCAGAGATCGCCAAAATCTTAAAAAAAAAATTTAAAAAAAGATAATCCCCACCTACCGACCTTAAATGTTTTTCAGGACTGAAACAGGAAACACACCATTTTTTCCTAGGCCTTGGGTTTCCCTCCAACGGCCCGGGGATGTTGACAAGGATGTTAACATTACAGTCACGCGTACGTGTAACCAACCCTTGGGCTCGCCAAGGCAGCCAGCCAATTCTGATTAAAAACTTCGGGATCTGAATCCATCCCTGAAGAGGCTGACAACAGCTAGAAAGTACACTCTTTCTTTGTTCTATCTGTGGAATACATCAAGTACTTCAGGGCAAAAAAGACATGGGACTTGGAATACAGTAGTAGTCTGTATTCCTCTTTCTTCATCCTCAATTATCGTTTTCTAAATCTTCACAACACAAATTTCAGTCTCCTTCCATATTGTGAAATGGACGAAATTAATAAGTTCTTCATTTCTTCCTCGTTCCAGCCAATTCTGATTAGAAACTTTGGGCTCTGAATCCATCCCTGAAGTGTCTGCCAACAGCTGGAAAGCACGCTCTTTCTTCTGTGGGAAAACTCAAGTACTTCAGGGCAGAAAAGACAGGGGAATTGGAATGCAGACGTTGTCGGTCTTCTTTTTTTATATACAGACTCATCTACAATCATTTGCTAAATCTCCTAAACACAATTTTTTTAGTCGCATCCCATGTTGTAAAATGGTAGAAATATTATTCTCAGTTGCATGCTTTTACTAACTACAGCACTTGCGGTGATATATTATATGCTTGTTGAAGCGATACAGATTCTATTCTCTCTTGGGGTTTCACAATCGTCAATTTTGCTGCAATCTTTTTTCTTTGCTACTGTATTTTCAGCAACATTGTAAGAAATCTTTAGAGTAGCAAGAAACCATCTTGCTTGGCGGGCCAAGCCAAAAGGCAACCTACCAAGCAAAACTTAAAACAAATTCAAAACATCAACCAAACACCGCTCAAACAGGCATTTACCGATCGATATTTCTACAATTTGGAAATGTACTTACGGTTGTTATTTATGATGCTAATTTCACGTCTGGTTTGTCTTCATTCGCGTTTAATTCCGGCCCAGCGCGGGTCTAACCGTGGTAATGTGATGCCGTAAGGAGGCCTTACACGGTGATTTCCCGCGTGTGCCCATTAGCAATATTAGTCTTCATTACCGCAGTATCGTAAATTCGTTATAGTCAGGAATATTGATGACACACACAATGTCGGCTCGTGCGCGACGTCGTGTGGGGAGTTTGAGTGGCAAGTCGTCTGCTGTTGGAAACTTGTCATACGAGTACTAGTATATGGTGTTTGCACCCACGTGACTATGACGTAAGAATTGTACGCCATGTTGGATGTTTAACCTCGTAGCTGCCATAAAACTTGGTACATATAATTATGTAACAGTCACGAGGTAATTGGATATGTCTATTACGTGCTTAAGAACCGGCTGTTTCGTGTATTACTTACTGTAGAAACCTGGGGTCTCTGACCCCAACCCTTCATTCTGAGAGCCATTTCTTTCGCCCTTCATTTACACTCAAACACACCATGGTTTAATCAGAATAACGACTTATTGGAGGGAGAAGGACCTCGGTATCTACCAGAGTCTTTGCTTCTCTAATGTCGAAGAAGAAGCATTCCTAAGTACGTTCAGGGTGATTATAGGTATATTTTGGTTACGGTGGATACTGATTTGCCAATTTGATACTGTCGTGTACCAACATGTAGCCACCGGTGCAGCAGAAGATTTTCTTGGAGATTTGCCTGGACAAAATTGGGCCCTGAGGATTGTTAGAGAACCGTCTCTTTGTCCCTTCATGAACACAGCCAGACACAGCATGGTTTAATGAGAATAATGACTTCCCAAGTTACTTCAGGATGTATCCCGGAGGGATGTAACGACTGTTAAAAAGTCTGCCGGCTTGGACTGGTGCCCATTACAAGTCTGAGGCCAGACCACATTAACCACCGACACCCCATCTACTCCACTCCATGTGCTTCTGCCGTTCTGGGTGTGGCAAATAGATACTTCCTTGCCAATTTGACAATGTACATTTGGGAATACATCTATAGCAGCAACACCTGTGCTAAAGTGCAATGTGAACCAGTCAGAATTGCCCTGAGGAAGGTAACAGACGGGCACCAAAACGTCGGCTGAAGAAAAGACTTGGTTGTGTAAAAAGAGTCTCTTTACTCTCTTACTGTCTTGTAACGACCAGAAGATTTGCCTAGAGATTGTAAGATGGGGTCTGGAGAATTAGATGACTATTAAAAAGTCTGCCGGCTTGGACCGGTGCCCATTACGTGGCCATGGCCAGACCACATTAAGCACTGACACCCCATCTACTCCACTCCATGTACGTCTGTCATTCCCTCATCATTAGTGCTGCCAACTGCAGGCTGCAGGCTAAAAGTTGTCTGCAGTCGGGAAATCGCTCATACAAGTATATTGTATTTTACCCACGTGAAAACGACGTAAGAGTTGCCATTGTAAGCCCAAATGCACTGTGGGTTAATCAGGAAAATGACCACCTACTAGTATGTAGTCTCAGGAACGGTAGTTGTATCTGTTTAGGGTGTGGCAAATTATATTCTTCCTTGCCAATTCCATACTGCCTCGTATACGTAATAACTACCAGAAGATTTGCCTAGAGATTGTAAGATGGGGTCTGGAGAATTAGACGACTATTAAAAAGTCTGCCAGCTTGGACCTGTGCCCATTACAACTCTGAGGCCAGACCATATTAAGCACCGACACCCCATCTACTCCACTCCATGTGCTTCTGCCGTTCCTTCATCATTAGTGCAGACTGCAGCCCGGTTCTAAGGAGGTGTGACTAAAAGCGGCCATTTTTCACATGGGAGAAGGTCGGGACTTTGGCGCGGACGTAGCATATTAAGTATTTTTTTTTTAGTATAGCTGTCTTATCCAGGCATATGTTCCTCTTACCAGTAGGACATTGTTTTTGTTATAAGTTACAAATTACGCTACAGCCCAACCAATGATGTATGTAGAGTCGTGTTGCCCATCCGTCTTTGTTAAGGGAGTTCAAGACTACTTGGTTTTCACTGTTAATAGCGTAGGCAATAGATGCATGTCTCTGAATCTTGGGGATGAAGTTTAGTGCCCCTGCATTTTCGCGCTAATCACACGATAAGCAAAATAAGAAATTAATTTCCAAGCTGATTTTAAGAGAGAAGACCGTACTACGTTTTCAAGATTTTTTCTCTCTTCGTGAGCCTGTAAACGGTTAATCTCATAGGTCATTCGATGACAAGTTAGTATCCATTGGTCAAAGGAGTTTCCATTAGCCACCTAGCTGGTAAATGGACACTAGGTGGCTAATGGACACTCCTATCCTCTGACCAATTGATACTGCCTTACCACCGTATGATCTACATGTACTTGGAGATAAGTAAACGGTACAGTATTTCAAACGCCGGTGGTTAGACATCCAGGTAATAAGATACGCCAAAACCAGTTATTCAAGCAAGTGGATATGAATTTGGCAGGCAGCATCCACTACCTTTCGTCAGTGACACTAAAGACTTGCAGGAGAAAGGCGGGTTTTTTTTTTCTTTATTAAAACATTTATGAGCAAATTGGACAAGATGACGACACACTCAAGCCGAAAGGCGGGTTTATAAGCACGAACTATTGAAATCATATCCAGCGGCTTAAAAAAAAACTTTTTTGGGGGTACAATCTTTCCCCACAACAACTGCTGGGCTTTCCAAATATCGTACGTACCTCTCGAGTCTGTTTTGCGGCATGCCTCCCGCCAGTTTCTTCCACCTGACGACCGGTCGCGGGTTGCCCTCGGCGTGACAAGTCAGGTTGGCGGGCTGTCCCTCCGTCACTGTCACTGACGTCTGGTCAGCTTTCACCGTGGGGGAGTCTGGTGGAGAACAGGAACTGGAATTAGTTTTGTGCTCTTTAAACCTTATACCCATACAATAGTTTAATCGGTAGAGTGTTTGCCTTGTAACCGGGAGGTCGTGTCAAGCGACAAACCCCGGTCGGGTCATACCGAATTAAAAGATGATACATTCTACTTTCTCTGCTTAGCACTCAGCATCTATGAGAAAGAGTATGGGAATGACAAACACACACCAGTACCAGTGGACTTGCCCCTTGCTGTAGTGCTTGCACAACTGTGTGACCCAAGGGCTACAGAAAATGAGATGGGCGCCACTCCTATGCTCTGCAAAGAAGGGAGTGGGACCTTTTTTTAACCACATCAATGCCGATGAAGGTTAGACATCCAGGTAATACGATACGCCAAAAAGCAACTGGATATGATTTTGGAAACGGTCTGACGTTTCAGCCAATATCCACTAGCTTTCGTCAGTGTCTGACTCAGTCATTATACTGAACTGTTATTCACCAACTGGGAAGTGTAAAAGTCATCATGAACATATCACCCCATCCCAGAAAAGAAGGCCAACGTTAAATCGATGCGTAAATCAATCGATGAACGTTTCTTTTAACCCCAAAAGTTCAGAAGCGATAAACGACAAAGATGTATACTGTTGGATGTGGCGAGCCGCGCTGCGTCTTCGGTAACGGATGTGTGATCAGGGGAAAAAGTAGGGCACCGAGTCAGATCGGATAGCCGGCAGGGCAATAGGCATGGTCATCATGCTAGAACCGTGGTTTTGAAGCATTTATCAATATGTTTAATGTCCAAACCAATCTTAGTGGTGTGAAAGCTTAAGACCGTAACCTAGCTGATTTCATACGTCGACGAAATACGGCATCTAGAAAGAACATTATGAAATGTAAAATAGATCAAACAACGGTAATAAGCACGGTCATCGTGCTAGAACCGTGGTGTGGTTTTGAAGCATTTGTCAATATATTTAATGTCCAAACCAATCTTTCTGTGGAAGGTCGTAACTACTTTATACCTTGACGAATGTACGGCATCTAGGTAGAACATTACGACATGCAAAATAGATGAAGCAACTGGATAAATTCTAAAGGGAGATCTCATAGTATATATTATAATCATAGTTTCAGATAGCATCCACTATCTTCCATCAGATACTGAGAATGCATATGAGTTATTTATTCATCAATATTTTAATGTCCAAACCGATTTTGGTGATAAAGACCGAACTTAACTGATTTTGAACAGGTGAGTCTAAAAGTAGGGCTTCTCGCCCAGTGTGTCAATGTAAAAATGTGTATCAGGGAAACATTAAAATGATATGGGTCATTTATTTATCAATATGTTTAATGTCCAAACCAATCTTTGTGATAAAGACCGTAAGGCTTTTTAAAGGTTTCTCTTAAAGCATGCCTTTTCGCCCAGTGTGTGAATGTAAAAATGTCTATCAGTGTCTGAAAAACATTATAATGATCTTTGACTCCGAAATCGTCCTATAGATTATCAATTTGTAACGACACAATGGTCGCCCTGCGTCGAGTGGGCTTGGCTGTGGGCGTTTTCAAGCGTCACTCCTTTTCGACCTATGTAACACGTACATAGCCGTATAGATCGCTATAAAAATATAGAAGGTTTATTGACGTTTTATGTCAGCAAACTTTTGTATATGAAATACAAAACAAGCCATAGAATTCTATTTACTAAACATTAAGGGACCATAAACGTGTATCCATAATGGCCTGTAACAACCAGTTCGGGATTTCAGTGTCTTTTGTAATAGATGGCAGACCAGGGTAAAATCTGGGGCACTGAGGCCTATCAGATAGCCGACGGAGGCAGTTGGCACGCAGGACATGCTGTAATGGTAGATTTGTATCATTCATCATTTTGTTGTCATACGATGGAGGGAATGCCCCGTATCTATGGGCTTGCAGTAAGGGGCGTTTCACGTTGTCTTATGCCCACCTTCACTGTTTAAGTTCGCAATTTAGGCACCTTTGTTGTAGCTTGGCAATTTGTCAACTTGAAACGCAGACATTGCAAGGAGTGCCATGTGTCTATGGATTTGGTTTGGGGCGGCCCTCCCATAGTTTAAGAGCACAATACATGATGATGAAGTACTCTAAAAATTACTTTGTTGTAGCCCGGCAATTTGTCAACTGGAAACGGAGGCATTGCAAGGAGTGCCATGTGTCTAA